GCTCTGAAGTTAGGCTGCGGGTAAAACCAGATGCCTCTGTAATTTACTAACCTTCAAGGCCACGACTGATAAGCGTGGGAGTGATTTTAGTGGGGAGCGCCTTGATTTGCTTTGAGGACAGATTTATCTCCAGTCTCAGCTTCATTTATTTTCCACCTTCCATGTATCAGGTGACTGTCCGAACCTGCCAGCAAACTAAAGGTGAAGTGGAATGCAGTGGTTGACGTGTTGTGAGAGAACCTCTTTACGTTTGCCACATATGCGTCTTCATCAAGTTGCATGTTTCCCACATAAGAGGCGATATGTACTATCTTACACGAGACGTCTTGCAGGTCATGACGTCACTGCAAAACTGCATTTCGCGGTTGTTGTACGAATGATGAGGGAGGTTTTGCTTGCTAATGTGTGTGTGCCCATGAACTAAAGGGCTCATACCGTGTCGGACTGTCCTTGCACAGTGTAAATAGGCAATATGTGCCTTTTACTGATACAGGCGCCGGTTCTCTGGCAATATGCCTATGGGATACCTGGTATCCGACCAGATCAATACGTCATTTGAGTGTGCTGTTGAAATTGTGTCTAGTAAGAACCGTGTCTGCATTGTTAGTGGGGACGATAGTGGTAGGGATAGTTTGACTTCTTCAACGAACTGTGTCGTAGGTGCGCTCGATCAAAAGCAGTGTCAGATTGTTTTACGACAGGCGCTATTCGGGCAGCATGGAATCTGCACTAGTCAATAAATACTGCCGTATATGGGGGCGTGGTCGCATTTATACACGTAGGCCTTCACTCTATATCAGACACTGTGTCTAATCTTCACACCAGCTGGTTGAGCTCGATACCTAAGAATCTATCTTCGCGTCATATCTGCGCATTCCTCACTGTAGTGAAGTTGACTCGCCAAGACTCGGTATTTGAAGGGCTGTCAACTGACAGGATAAGTAGATTCCTAGGACTGAGAACCAGACTGTTATGGTACCCTCGTTGACGTGAGATCCGTCACGTGCAGACAAGCCTTTTTACTATGCAAATCACTGATCCCGAGCTCATCTCTGGTCATCTTGACATTATTTGGTCATCACAACCAGATGCGTGAGAGGATAGATTGCGGTAGATGCTGCATGAAAGTTGCTCAGTATAAACCAATTCAAGTATAGGAAGGGCCCTGTCCAGGACGTATTACGTCTACCGAGATGTATATGTTTGACGCAACCTAGGCATGCAGTTTTAAGCACCCGTGCTAATATAATTTTTCGGTTATCAACAGGAAGGGTTCGCTTACCAAGTGCCGGTTAAATTTTTGACAGGTGTCTTCATTTGATCCAGTTGTGATGAAACTCACGGCTGCTGGTGAAGGCCTCATGG